CAAGGAATTTTTGTATTTTTCGTAAATAATGGTTTCTTAACCTCAGCACCGAGACGTTGGGGAGACATGACGGTGAGCCGAGGTCTTCCTTGCACAATTCAACAAACAAAAAGTCATACAAATCCTCCTTCGGTATTCAGTGTGGCCACTTGGCGAATCCCTTCCACTCGCTTTCCCAAACCAAATGAAAAGTACGCCATTATTAATAAGACAAATCCGACTCAAATGTTTCTAGGGCGTGGTTTTCAATCATGTGCCCGCATGTAACTTTTTGGCATCTTGCGATTTCTTGTGCTCTAGCCTCGGCCTGTGATGTCGCCTTGCAGAATGATGCTGATGAGTGTAGGTCAACAGGAAAGGTGGTAATGACGACTTTTTTTTTGTTGCAGATCTTGCCATAACTGAACTATAAGTGAGAAAATTTACTTTCTCTACTAATTCATTGGCCTTAAGGATGCAGGCACTATTCTTCTAGCTCAGAAAAGTCATTATCAAGGCAGAAAATGCGATGAAACACGGTGTTTTGAGTCGTGTTTTCCGTCTTTTATTCAATTTCATCTCTCCAAACCTAGGAAGAAATTTACTTTGGATTCGTGAGCGCCAATATGAGCATATGAGTCGTTGCAGCTCGTACATCTGTCGCACCTTGACAGAAATCCGGGTAAAAGGAGGATACCGACCTATGAATATCTTCCATTCACTCGTAATTTCACATAAAGTGGAAAGTGGGATTTCATGACCTTTATGAAAGGATTCAACAGAGCCGACCGCCGGTTACAGCTCATATTTAGGCTCTACTGGTAGTTTTGAGACTTACTCACTATGAATGTATGCAATGTGCTCTATCACAATTGTAAATCAAGTTTAATTCATCGACAAACCAATTACAAAAATGTGATATGGGGAAGACTTGAACTTCCTTGAATTTCACGTTTTCTGCGTGGCCCAGCCTCACTCGTAGCAGTGTGGCGTAGGGGCAATATGTCGAGATTTCACGCTACGGTACCCAGGTTTAAGTCCCGCTGGGGTGCTGATTAGACCTAGGCATGGTCGAAGTTGAACTCCACTCCTACCGGGATGATAATACATTTTGGGAAGCAAGGCTTTGCAAAATGCAATGAAAACCTACTTATATAATTGGGAAAAAATGCAACTATCAATCGTTCGTCTTTGAATTTTTCAGAAGGCTGACATTTCTCGAACTTCGAGGTCATTTAGACAAGCTGACCATCGAGCCTGACCATATAAAGCAGTTGGCACTTCGTCACGTAGCTATGGTCGACGTGAACACGTCATTTTTTCTCCCACTTTTGACGATGACTGCTAATACTAATTGCATTCATGTGAGTAGTATGGGCGCCACAAATACTGTATTTTTCGGGTCTCATGAGCTCATTTAACTAACTGCTGACCGTCTTGTCAGTCACAACATCAAATTTTATCCGTTTCTTGTCCTATTTTCTCGGTAAATTTGAGCCAAGCCATCCTGCCTGTATGAGTGTATACTTTTTTAAATAGTTATTTATGCATAATCCAAAATAGAAATATTTAAATAAATAAACGCAGAGCTCTACATATGCCAGAGCTATTTAATCAATTTTGCTAATTGAACAAGGTGCGGAGATGAACTTGAAGTCCTGGTGAGTTTGATAAATTGCCATCGGCCCAACGTCCAGACAAATGCTGTGTATTCGCATTCGCTGGCGAGGTGGTGGCTGCTGTGTTGGGGGCAGTGGTGGTTAGGCCGGGAGTGGCAAGCGTTTTCATAGAATGAGGCGTTTGAGTATGTCTGTGCTCCAACTCGTCTAGAGGGTATGGACGAGGGGCAGTTTAGTCGAGAGGCATGGGTGGACAGTTGGTATATATCAGTGTATGCTAGTGTGTATGCCAGTCTAAAAGCATACGCCTCGGACCCGTCTAGCTATCCGGCCTCGATACCAGAGGCCAAAGTGATGGATAGAGGAGGGGGAATTTGGTGTCAGGGGGCTGGGTCCGTCCGGGAATGGGAGGCCTCGATAAGTGAGGATGGGAGTGGAGAGGAATTATGCTTATGAGTCAGCCAAAACTAACTGAAGGTTGTCACCTTTTGGCCGCGCTGATGGAGTCTCTTCTCTCGCCGGTCTCAAAACCAACATTGTCTCGGCGTCGCCTCACAGTTTGCTCTTTCCTTTTCCCTCTTTCCCCCGCCCGTTCCATCCACATTTCTCTACCTCTCCCTCTCCCTCTCCCTCTCTCTTTCTCTCTATCTCCTCTTCGTCGCATCCTCGTTCTCTCCTCCACCGGCAGGCCCGGCCACCTCTGCAACCGGCTCATCAATTTGCCCCACCGGTTTCCCGTTTAGCCCAGCAGGTGTTTCGGTTGAAAATGGATTATTTCACCTACCGTTTCTGCTGCCGACTGTGGGGCTGGAGTGGGGTTTTCAGCCTGCCTCCACCACAGGCCGATTGACGCAACGGTCATGGCCTGCGGACCTCTGCCCGTCTGTGTGCGAGTTGCGGTCACTTGGACAGTGCATGCATGCATGCAATTACGACTGCGGCCGGCATATACGACGTTAGGTTTGGTCTTGACGTGTCTTTTGGTTTACAAGTGTTGATGGTGTGATGAAGAGCTGTGAAGCTCGATCCCACCAGAAGACGATGAAGTATTTCTTCCGGCTGTACCGGAACATTCTGGTCCTCGTTGTCCCCGAGGCAATCTATGTCGATTCTGGGAGAAAATGTGCTTAGCTTTCGTCTTTCATGTGAAGGACATCCTCAGAACAGGCTATCACTCTTACGATTAAATTTAAGCTAACCAACTCACCATCAGCTTATTGCAAAACACTGTGCACACACACATATGCACATACATAGTTACATACACACATGCATACATACATGCTTGCATATATATATATATATATACATATACATATATTATACATACACGCGCATCTAAAGGCGCATAAACACACATCAATATACACATGCATATGTTTCCAAATTTAAATATGAGTTAGATTAGACGAATCACTTCGTAACTCGAAGAAAGCATAGCTACAGAAAAGCCGGTAAGAGCTTCCTTGAAAGCCACATCTGACCTGTAACCCAGGGGTATTATTGGCAGTGTGGCGAAGTGGTTAATGTGTCGATTTTATATGCTGCACCATTGCATTTCTAGTCCCGCGGAGGGTGCTGAAGAGACAAAGACGAGAAAAAAACTGCAGTCCATTCCTGCTTGAATGAAAATACCTTTTGGGAAGCAAGGTTATTCAAAATACAATGGAGACACAATGTCTACTCACATTATTGTGGCAAAATGCGACTAGCAGTCCTTCATCACTTTACACGAAATACGGTGAAAACAACTATTAAATAATGTTTTAAGAATGAGCAGATATCATTTCATTCTAGGTCACCTATAGCGATGGTTACATTTTCTCACAGTTGTCTGAATAGGCCCCGCGCCTTCATTGAATCTCACCTAACCTTTTTTAAAAGGTATTTCTATTCAGGTATGTACAGACTTCAGTTTCCATCTCACCTGAGTCTCAGCAGCACACCTAAATGGAATGGAGCTCGACCAGTTTAAGGCATACATTTGACATTTTACCACTACGATAGCTGTGTCTGCCCTAATTTATTTAAGTTGATAAGGGACTGATAGTTGAATTTTCCCACCAGTGATATGAGTAAACCTCATATTCCCATAGTATTTCATGTGGCCTTGCCTACCAAAAGGTATTCTCGTCCAAGGTGGACTGCCAATACGTTTTACTGTCACTAAGGCTCAAGGGCGGCAGGAGATGAATGCCAGTCCTCTCCTCTATCACATTTATGATGGGATTGTCGATGCGACCTATTTGGGGCCTACTCGTATCATTGTGGAAAAATGAAATTATCAGTCTTTCATCACCTTATGCCGCTTAGGCTGACTGGAACTTTTATTCGAGATTGACTACATCCCATATATTTATAGAAAGTAACTTTCGAGACTATCAATTCAGCTTGAAGCAACATCCTCTTATGAGACCTAAGGTGACTAGTTAGGTGATGGATGGAAGTGTACAATTATGGGGTTTACTTCCATTCCGAGTAAAGATACGTGGTGAATAGATCCGAAGATGGACACGACCAGAGGCAGTCAGTGTATATCTTTTGGCCCGTTGCCGGTTGTTCCGGAGGAAGGCTCCTTTGATTCCGGTTTCATGCGTACAACCAAATTCAAACTAATTATTCACTCTCTTATCCCTACACATTGTATTTGTATCTTAAACGAATGCATTTTATGAGGTATCTTGTGATTTAATTAGTTCAAGTCATGTGTCAATCTAGAAGCCTGTGAGTGTGCATGTTCGTGTGTGATATTGTACCTTTAAGTGTTCGTATGCGTGTGA